GACGACGAGGACGACGAGGACGAGGAGGACGAGGACGAGGACGAGGAGGACGAGGACGAGGACGAGGACGAGGCCCTGGAGCTGGACGCGCTGCAGTTCCGGCCCCCGCCGCCCTGGGCCTCCTCCTCCCCCTCCGTCTCCGAGCTGCTGCTGCTGCTGCCGCTGTCGCTGCTGCTGCCGCCGCTGCTGCTGCTCTCTGACTCCTCGGCCCCGTCCTGCTCAGCCTGGCCCTTGTCCGGGCTCTTGGGGTTCCCCGAGTCCTCGAACGCGAGCCCGACCCCGGGCTCCTGGGCCAGGTCGCCCTCGCCGGCCTTGGGCCGGGCCGCCTTGGGCTCACCGCTGCCCACGGCCGACGGGTAGCCGCCCAGACCCAGGAGGCCCTTGGGCTCCTGCCAGCCGCCCGCCCCGGGGTCCTCGCGCAGCAGCAGGGCCTCTTTGGCCTTCTTGCTCTTGGGTGACGTCACACCCTCGTGGTCCAGCTTGACCAGCAGCTCGGCCTCCTCGCCTGGCCGCCGGGCCCCCTTGGCGGCCGACTCCTCAGCAGCCCGGGCCTTCTTGGGCTTGGGGCGGGTGGCCGGTATGGTGATGGGCATGGTGACGAGCGGGGCTGGGGCCAGGGCTGCAGAGGGGGCCGGCAGCTCCCCGAAGGACTCAGGACCCGGGCAGCTGGCAAAGGTGGACGGCACTGCGCTGGGCTGTGGGGGTGCAGGGCGAGTTTTGGGAGCTTTGGCCCGCTTGTCCACGGATTCTGGGGGGCTCTTCTTGGAGCTTGGGGTGCTGATTGGCTCCAGAGGTAATGGGGTGCTAGGAACCTCAGCTGCTGAGCCCCCCTCCTCCAGGACAGCAGCTCTGTCTAGAAGAGACCAGGAGAACACACATGAGGCCGGGGGCCCCGGAGTCACAGCCCCCGATCCAAACCCGGCTCACCAGCCCCCTCCGGGCCCCGAGACCAGTGGCCGGGATCACCGTCACGGTGACAGGCGGCGGCCCGAGCTCCCGGCCCAAGCACGCTCTCTGGCCCCGGGGGGGCATGCCCGGGGGAGTGACAGGCCAGCGTGCCTCCCTGAGCCTCAGTGTCCTGATCTGCCCGAGGGTCACAACAGCCCTGGGGTGTAGGGTCCCCGGGGGGACTCTGGCCGACGTACCCGCCTTGGCCTTGGCGCTGGGCTTGCGCCCGCGTCCTCGCGCCTTGGCGCCCGGCTCTTCTGGCCCCGGGGCACCTCCGTCTTTGCCCTCCGCGGCGTCCTTGCTGGTCTTCCGGCTGCGGCGCTTGGCGCTGGGCACCAGAAGCGCCGGGGACGGCTCAGCACCTGCGGGGCAGAACGGGGGCAGCTCAGGGGAGGCCGGACTGTCGGTCACGGAGAGGAGCCCGACGGCGCCTGGAGGGAGGCGCCCCCTGGCAGCTCAGGGATCCCTGAGAGGATGAACTGTGGGGCTGATGACAGAGGCTGGCTCCTGTCACTTTATGGCCCACTGGAAGCCGCTTGAAACCCCGGAGGCCTGGACACAGGAACACCAGAAGGTCCCAGGGGTCCTGGATCAGCCCTGAACGAGTCACGGGCCTGGACAGGTCCTCTCCTCCTCCGGGCCAGTCAAGGGGAAGTCACGGACATGCCGGGGGGGGACTGAGTCACGGCTCCGTGGCCACCCGGCGCGTGCCCTGCCAGCACGCTTCCCGGCTTCGCCCCGCGGGGCTGCCTGGCGGGCTCCCCGTGGGCCCCAGACCCCGAGGCTGGAGACCCCCAGGAGCCCCGCTCACTGCTGCCCTCCCCGTGCCCCGGGGGTCCAATGGCAGACAGTGGCCAGTGCAGAGCCGGGCCCAGGGCGTCTGTGCGGGGGCCCAGCCGGGCCTGGGGGGCGGTGAGGGGCAGCAAGTCCGCGACTCACACTGGATCTTGTAGTCGGGAGGCAGCAGGCGGATGTGCGAGAGGGGAATCCGCCCTGTGTCCCCATCGTCGAACTCCACGGTGATGAGGTCCCCGTCGTCCTCTAGGCCCAGCAGCCCTGCGAGGGGAGGCAGGGAGGGCCGTGAGCTCCCCTCTGGCCGAGTGCATGACTCTGGGGACACTGGCCCGCGCCACTCACGCCATAGTTCCCCCCGAAACAAGACGGGGAAGATGACAGAGGGACAGAGGGAGCGCAGGGGTGAGAACGTGGCGCAGGAGGGTGCCCACGGGCGGCACCTCCATGGGCAACGGGCAGCGGCTTGGTCCTGGCTCTCGCTCAGTCGGGTGCCTGGAGGGGGTCACGCCACAAGAACGAGGAAGCCCTGCAGAGGCCCGGGTCCCACAGGCGCCCGACACCTCTAGGAAGAGGTTCAGGGGGCTCCGGCCCTGGGCAGGCCAAGGAGCCGGGAGCTGCCTGGGGAGACCCCGAAGGACACTGGGGCAGTAAAGGGAGGACTACACACACTGACTGGTAACCCCAACCCCAGCCAGGCCTGAAGGCCCTGAAGGCAGTCAGGGAAGTCGGACTGGCTGCCGGGAGAGGTGGCGTCTGGAGCCCCCAACCCAACACCCGCACTGGGTCCCCACTAAGGGCAACCGGAGACTAGGCCGACGGCGAACGGAGGTCAGCACAGAGCAGAGAGGGAAGGGGACGAGCGAGACACAAAAGCAGAGACCAGGAAACTCAGGAGGACAGGGAGGAGAGAAGCCTAATGTGAAAACACAAAGTCCTTGGAGGGATTTCAAGAAAAGGTAATGTAGCCATGAAACAAAGAGAACATTTTTTACCATCGTGATCATGTGCTGGTTTTGCAAAAGCTAAGGGGTCGCCTTGGGTATCGGCCACTTTGTGGCCGTCCAGGCGGCTTTCTGGAGAGCCTGTCGTTTCTGTCCGCCCCCTTCCCACTCTCCCTTGCTGACATCGCCCCCGCTTTCCCGGGGAAGCCACCTTGCCACCCTCTCAGCACACGTGCAAAACCAGGAAGCCCACCTGGCGCCTCGGCTTCAAAAGCAAACACTGGCCGCATCCGGCGATCCAACCCTCAGCCGTGGGGGTCAGAGCAAACCAGGTGGCCTGGCTGGACGCCAGCCTGGGCAGCGCTCTGAGCCCCCAGGGGCCGATGTGAGGCCCGCGCCCACGGGGCCCGCAGAGCCTGGGCCGCCACCCACAGCCCGCTAAGTGTGAAGCAGTCCGAGCCGGTACAATTAATTCTTCACGCTTAGGCCAGTTAACGTGGGGCCTGGGGGCAGCAGGGAACCACCCGGCCTGCGAGGACACAGGAGGCGGGGGGCGGGGGGGGCCTGCTGACCTCGGACCACGGTGCCGGGGTAGAGGCAGCGGTACTGCTGGCTCCAGTAGGCTGCAATCCTGGTCCCCTGCGGCAAGAAGCGCGTGGAGGCCGGCCTCACGTCGATGATCTGGAAAGGCAAGAACAGAGCGATGGGAACACGGCTGCCCACGCAGCCCCTGAACCCCTCTTCCCAGAGGACGGCCTCCCCACTCACCGCCTCCTGCAGCAGCTGTTCCAGGCAGTAGATGTGGGGTCGATTCCCACGCTCACCTTCCACCACCACCCGGTATCTGCAAGGCGGGGCAGGTGTGCCGTGAGGTGGCGGGGGGGGGGCCCTCCCCAGGGGACCCCGTCTGGGACTCAGGACCTGGCAGCACCGGCGCGTGCTCCCAGACCATTGCTATGTGACATACGAGCCATACAAACTCGCCCTATGAACTTGGGGTAATGTCTCCTCACTTCCAGGTGTGTTTCCTCAACCAGGTGTTGCAGACCCAAGAGGGGCCAGCACGCTCTCCCCTGTCCCTTCTCGTTGAGCCCTGCCACCTTGGCCCAGCCACGCCCGCAGGGGCCCGCTGCCCACCCGCCCGCAGAGGACTGTCCTCCAGGGGTCCTCTGAGTCTGCCCCCCAAGGCAGGCACCATCTGGGGGGATCCCCAGCTCAGAGAAGTACAGCAACCAGCCACAGAGGCCCAGCACGGCCGCCCCGATGCAGGGCTGGGCGAGGGTCTCCGGGTCCCCTGCAGGCCCACGCGGCCCACTCACATGTCTGGCGAGTGGACTGTCTGCACGTGCCCAGCGTACAGCAGCTTGTCGTCCATGGGGATGAGCACACGCAGGCCGTCCTTCAGCTCGTCCTTGTCGATGATGCAGGAGCGTGGAGCTGCAAGAGTGGCCAGTGAGGCGGGGCTGGAGCCAGGGGCGGCCAGACCCTCCCTGCCCACAGCTCCCTGGCCCCAGGCCTGCCACTGGCCCTCAGCTGCCCCTGGGAGAAGAGGCGCCCTGGGCTACTGGTGAGCCTGCGAGCGAGGAGCGTGTGCCCCGTCCAGCCGCTCCCCACCCGGACCGTAGGCAGCTCCGGAGGTATGAACCGGGGAGGACAGCCTGCCCGAAGCCCTCCCTTGGGCCGAGAGCATGACCTCGAGCCCAGGCCCGGGGCTCTGGGCTGTCAGCCCCCACTGCTGCCTCCTCAAGCCCCCAGACCTTACTGTCAGCTTTTCCTCCCCCTGGACTGCTGCTTGCTCTGGTGGAACCAATCTCCGGGTCCAAACTTTGGCAGGGCTGCCAGCACTCACTGCCCCGCATCTCTTAGTCAGACCCAGACCACCCCCACCAACACCCCGGCCCACCCCTTCCAGGAAGGACCCCCATCCCTCTCTCAATTCCGCTGCAGCCTGCCTACCCTTCCCCGGCACTATGCACCCTCGGGAGACCCAGGACAGCCAGTGCAGCTCTTCATCTGCCTGCACCCACATCCCGCCAGAGCCCCCCAGGGGCAGAGTGGCCGCCCCACCTCGACCTCGGGCACGGGAGTTGCTCTGACCATGACCCAAGGGCAGAGGAGACTAAGTGCGACTGAACGGAGGCTGGTCCAGGCGCGAGGGCCCCTGCATTGGTGAACACCCAGCCGTCGCCGGGCCCAGGAGCGAGCCCAGCGGAGGGGCCCGGCCCGCCCTGCAGACACCGAGGCCCGTGCTGCTTCAGGACCACAGCCGCCCAGCACTGACGCACAGAGCGGCCCACCCGTGAGAGCAGCCCTCCGCTCCACCCACCTGGGTCGCATCCTCAGTCTCCTCTGTGGTCCAGACCCCAGATTCAAGCGCCCACCAGCCCTCACTGCCCTGAGGTGTCCTCTAGCGCCCCAGTCATCAAAGTCCAGCATGCCATCTGCCCGGTCCCCTCTGTGTCTCTGTGCAGGCACCCCCCACCTGTCACAGCACCCCCTGCCCACCCCGCTGCCACCCCCAGGCTCGGGCCCACAGCCCGCCCTGCAGCCCCGAGGTGCCCACGGAGCCCTGTACAGCCTCCACCCAGGCCCAGCGCCCGGAGAGCCCACTCCACCTAGCCTTACTAACCGCCCCGCACCACCGGGCACCGCTCAGTCTTCCATCGGGCGAGGACCAGATGCCTGCCAAAGCCGCCCAGGCCTGCAGGGTCGGCTCTGCCCCCCACCCCGGATGCCCCCCACCCCCATGGTCACTGAGCCGCAGCCAGAGCGGCCTTCTCCTAGGTTCCTCAGGCACCGCCGTCCCCCCAACCTCGGGGCCTCTGATGCAGCAGTGCTGTGGCCTGCCCCTCACCCCCACCCCCCTATGCCAGCTTAGCCCCCGCCCATCTCTGGCCACGGTGCAAAGGGACCCTCCCAGGCCGGCCCGACAGCACCGTGGCTACTCACCCGGAGTCAGGGGCCGCTCCACGGCCCCACCGCGGGGCAGGTGCTCGTCCTCGGAGAAGCTCGAGTCCTGGTTGGGTTCAAAGTCCTCCTCAGCAGCCATGCTCTCCATCAGCTTGCTCACAGCGCCCCCCTTCCCCCGGTTCTGGGGACAGATCATGGCAGACCAACAGCTCAGCTCATGGCATGAGTCCTGCCCATCTGGGGATCCTCCCTGGAAACCTGGGGTCACGGTCAGGTAGCAATGGAATCTGCCATGTGCGTGGTGGGGGTCCCAGCGGGACTCACCCCAGAGGCCAGAGGGGGACGAAATGCCACGGTGACACGGAGGGAAAGCAACCCAGCCAGGGGTGCGGCCCCATCTGCCGACGGAGCAGAGACACTCCCCCAGCCGTGGGGACCCCGCGGGGCCCAACTCTGGGCACGCGGGCCTCACCTCCTTCTTCACCTCCTTCCCTTTGGCCCTGGTCTTGCCCCTCTTGGCAGTCGTGGCTGGGGAGCTGGTGTGTGCGGTCCGGGCCTCGGGGGGCAGGGCAGGAACGCGGGGCGGCAGCACGGCCCCGGATCCCACCTCCTTCCCCTTCTTCTTCTGGGGGAGGAAGCGGGACAGGGGTCAGGGCAGGCCGTCCCCCGCCACTCACCGTCCTCAGTGGGACACAACTCCACCCCCGCCCCCAGAGCCGGAGCTGACCAGGGCACTCTGCTCCAGGCTGGCCCTGCCCCCCTCGGCCTACCCCCACCCCCAATTCTTATCCTCCGTCTCTGAGTGCCCGTCCCAGGTCACGTTTTGCAGCCGCTATTACGTCAGTGTTAGGACGACTACAAACTACTTGCGAAGACGAGACTGTAGTGTCTGCACTGCGTGTTCCTCTGCTATAGCTGCACAGGTAACAGCGCCACGCGCAGCTGTCCACGGGTGCACTCGGCCACGTAAGCCATCCGTGCCGGCACACAGTACTTTTTGTAAACACAGTTGGGGATTTACCCAAAGTTCCATCTTGTGACTCCCCCCAGCACCTCTGAGACACACAGAAACAACCTCATTCTTCATTCTTGTCAGCTGCCCAAGGTGCCCTGTGTGGGAGAACCACACCGCCTACCCAGCACCCCCACCCGTGCTGCAGATGCAGGCTGCCCCCATTTTTTCACTCTTCTTGACGAAGCCACCAAGGAACAGCAGTGCCGCTGAATTCCTCACGCACGGTCCTGGGGGGCCTTCACGGCCCTGAGCTGCCGCCGTAGAGGCTCCTGGATCGTCTACGTTGCCCGCCTTCCCGTCTAGTTGCCGGGCAGCGAGCGCCTCGCCACGCACCCCAAAGTCGCCCCCGGTGGTGGGCCGGAAGCCGAGGGCGCAGGCGCCGTGATGGGCTTCATCCATCAGGGCTAGTGACTGGAAACGACCTAGCTGCCCGCCCGGAGGCCCAGCGCTCGGCCCTGAGGGCCCGTCCTGGGGCGGGGACTCAGTGGGAAGGCCAGACCCAGCGGTGAGGGGAGCGGGCCCGGGGACTGGGGTGCTACTAAGGCCAGGCTTTTTCAGAAACACATTCCTGAAGCAACCTGGCCAAGTCCAGGGACCAGCGGAGGTGAAACATTAAAACAGAAAAGGATGACACGGGCCAGTGTTGCCAAGACAACTGCAAAAGCACAGCTTCCACATCACGAGTGGCGCTCCAGCAAATGGCCTCGACCACGCCAGGCAGGAGAAAACGGGGACCGTGTGCGCGGGTCAGGCCCCGTTTCAGGAAGAATAAGAAATACACGTACTGACGGCGTCTCAATCCTGTCCACTGAAATCAGAGGGCATCTAGGGGGTGGAAGGGACGTTTAACACAATTTCCTCTCCTCTACCCCGACTTATTAAATAGCTCATCTCGGGGGCATCTGCAGCTGTGTGCACAGGGGATGGAAAAGCAAGGACAGCAAAAAGGGTCACCCCGGAGTGGACGTTAAGATGGGAGTGGACCTTAAGATCGCTCTTTATCTTCTATACTGCTGGTGTAAGCAGATGACAATGGATACTTGCCCCTAGCCTCTTGGCCAGAAAGTCCATTTCTGAGACCCGCTAAGTAAATACAGACACAGCTGAAGGAGAACTCCCAGTGTGCACGTGCAGCGTCCGGAAGACAGGGGCTCACCACTGTGCTCGCTACCCAGTAAAATGGCATCTTCACCCGAGTCACCGACAGTCACGGACAGCCAGCCGGCCAGCCACGTAGAGATCGTGATTTTAAAACATGTTCAAATAACATGAGCCCGCCCTGGTGGCACAGCGGGTTAAAGCACAGCACTAAGAAGCTAAAGCCACTTCCACATGAGTTCGATCCCCACCCCAGGGTGACCACATGGCGCAGCAGACCTCTCCTGACCCGCCCGCTGCTCCACACAGCAGTGTACTTTCCCTCAGCAGTGTACTTTGTCAGTCGGCCTGTTGTGCTCCCCACTCTATCTCTGATGAATCCTCTCACCCTCCACATCTCTAGCCTGTACCCCAGTTCCATATGAATAAATAAATAAATCTTTTTTAAAAAAAAAAAAGCTCGCAGCATCGTGTAAGAAGTGCCGAGTCTGAAGGCAGGCAGCTCGAGAACTGTGAGCGGAGGCTGGTCCTGGGGCCATGGGACTTGGTCCTGGCCAACAATTAACCTGTTCCTTTCCAGTCCCACTGGGTCGTCAGTCCTGGGGTGGGGCGAGACCCTAGTCCTCCCTCCCCAAAGCATAGAGTGAGGGGTTACCACGAGGGGCCACTTGAGCAAAGGCACAAAGAAGCAGGTGGCCCAGTGGTTAAGGGCCAGTCCCAGTGCTGGACTCTTAGTGTTCAAGGCTCAGCCCTGATGGTCACTAGCGTGGCGACTGTGGGCAGACGCCAGGCACCTACACAGTGCAGGTAAAATGAGCGGCCTGCCTCAAATGGTTATGAACAACCCAACAATGTAATAGGAGATAAATAATGTGAGATCCTGACAGGGAGCTCCAAAACGCCTTGGAACTTTCTGGGTGATGGGAATATCCTCTGTTCTAATGAGGTGGCTCTTGGTGGGCCCCTAGATAGCTGGCATGGAGGGTGGTCACTGGGAAGATAAAGCCATGACTGAAAATTTCATCCCAAGGGCCAGTCTCCCAAAGGGGCTGTGGGCTGAGCTTGCCGTGACAGATCATCCCTGCATAAAGCCTCTAGAAAGACCCCTGAAACAGGGCTCAAGGGGTGTGAGGTGGAACACTCAGGTGTGGGGGAGGGTGAGACCAGAGGGCATGGGAGCTCTGCACACATGGCACCCCACAACATGCCTCTTCCACCTGGCTGCCCCTGAGTTATATATAACAAGCACTTCCCTGCCTCCTGAGTCATTTGGTAAATGATTGAACCTGGGAAGAGCTGTGGGGGCCCCTGATTTACAGCCGGTGGACGGAGTCTTTGGGAGCCCTGGTGCTCGTGACTGGCATCTGGAGAGGGCCAGGGGGGCAGCCTTGTGGGGCTGAACCCTTCACCTGTCGGATCTGCACGTTCCGAGCAGCAGTGTCTGAAATGTTGAGAGTGGAGGAAACAAATTTTCCTGTATCAGTAAACCACACATGTGTGTAAAGTGGTTGGAGCAGGTCTGGACCCCACCCTGGGTTGCTGCAGCAGCATCATTATTATTGTTCATTATTCCAACACCTTCTCTCCAAGGCCTACAAAAACCCGAGGTGGCTTGAGCCATGAGGAAACAAGAGGTGAGCGCAAGTCACAGTGCACGTGGCTGACACGGACGCAGTCTCTTCCCCGCCGTCCCGTCACCAGGAAATCAACGTGCGTCATCCTTTCGGGTGACTTTCTCTAGAAAGTCAGTGTGGTTTCAGGGTTGGTCCTCCACTGGGGGCCCAGGCTGGTCACGTGAGCCAGGGACTAGGGTCAAGAACCGGCTACGAGGGAAGCCAAAGACCGTGAGCTTCCCAGCAGCCGACTCGAAAGGATCAGAGAGGAGCCCACGCCGGAGGATTTGGGAAGTCTGGGAGTTTGGAAGGGAAAAAGAACGCCCATCTCTATGTTCACTAACTAACCTCTGAGGAAATGAGGTTTTCCTTCAGGTGTGAGTGGAAGCCACAAGCCACAAGGGGACCTGGGCGCCGGCGACTGTCACCCCACAAGCCACCAACACTTGTGCACACGGTTCCCACGGAGCCCGGAGACCGCGCCCACCATCACTGCTCAGTGAGCGCAGGCAGGCCACGCCGGAGCCCCCGGGACGCGTCGCGGGCTGCACTTCAGTGTTGCTGTCCTGCAGCGGCCCAGGGCCCCGGAGTGGGGGGGAGGCGCGGCCTGGCGGGACTCCGGGCCACCCCGCGGCCAGGAGGAGGGGCCCGGACCCGTCCTGGCCGTCTGCACCCCTGCGTGGCGCCCCTACCTTCCGAGGGTCCTTCCTGTCCCTGGTGCGGCCGGTGTCCTTGCGTGGGCTCAGCGGGCCACCCCTGCCGCAGCGGCTGGGCTTGGCGGCCGCTGGCGTGGTGCTGCTGGGCGCCGGGACAGCGGCCGAGGCGTCGTGCAGGAAGATGCGCTCGCTGCGCCTCCGAGTCCACAGGTCGTCGTCGCTGGCCTCAGGTCCAGCCTCAAAGCCCGGCTCCTTGGGGCCCCGCAGTTTGCGGGCCTTGCGCCCCTTCTCTGCTGCCAGCTTCACCTTCTCAGGGCTGCTGGGGCCCGGGCCCCGAGCGCCGGGTGCAGGCACAGCCAGAGCGGGGCCGGGCTCCCCCAGCCCCTTCTTAGGCCGGAGCAGGCCGGCCGGCGACCGCTTCCGAACCTTGAACTCGCTGTCGGAATCGGTGAACTCAAACTCTGTGCCTGGATAGGGGCAAAGGAGGGGGCTGTCGACAGCTGCTCCCGGAGCCCACTTCCCACCACCCAGAGCTGTGACCACCAGACCCATTCTTCCCCGAGGACCTCACAGCCGACGGGAGCTTTCTCCCTGAACCCAGAGAGGAGCCTGAGATCCAGAGAAGGGGACTCACCAGGCCACACACCTGTGAGTGGCAGGTGCTGTCCGGCCCCTCTCCTGTTGCCAACCCCCCTTGGCTGCCCACACTCCCCCACCATTTACACCTAGAGTGGCATCTGGGAAAGTTCAGGTTCCTGCCTGGGCCTCTTTGGGCTTCCTCAGTGCCTCCTGTTTGCCCCTGGGGGCCCTGGGCGCCAGGGCAGGCAGCCTGGCGGGCCCCTCACCTGCAGGGACAACCACCCTGCGGGGAGCAGATGGGGAAGTCCACTGGAAAGCCCGCCTGAAGCCGCCTCCTGCTGGTGCTTCTCAGGCTGGAAGGTCCCTCTCTAGAGACTGGGCCTCACCAGCCCACCGCGCCCGGCCCCGCCTGTCACCCTCGGAGGCCTGCTGCCTCTGAGCCAAGGTCCAGCTCCTCTGACGGGAGGGCAGTACTGCGCCCACCCCGATGCCCAGTTCAGGGCCCAGGGCTCTTCAGAGAATGTCCCTGGCTACGGGGCCACCAGGGCTGACCCCGCACCTGCTGATCTCCAGCCTCTCAAACCTCCAGGCCTTTGGTTCTCCTGGACCCACTGTCTGGAACACCATCTCTCCCCTGAGCTCCGCCTGGAAACGGAGTCGTCCTTCCTCTGAGGACCCCTCTGCAGCCTGGGGCACCTCCAGAACACCTATCACCTATCACATTACAGGGGTCCAGTCCGTGTCAGTCTGTCTGTCCTGCTCCACCTCACATCTACACTGGGTGATGACGTTCCTTCCTGGGTGAGAGCTTCAGTGTGTCTCTGCCCAGGACGGGGGCGGAACATCCTGTAACGGTCCCTGGATTAGCCCCCAAAGAAGGACTTGCCCCGGCCCCCACAGCACATGAGCCAAGAAGCCGGGGCTGAAACCCAGGTCTACTGTCCCCTGGGCAGCTGCAGGCCTCCTGTGGGAGGCCTGCTGCCCCCGTAGACGCAGCCTCGGGAGCAGGGACGGAGTTGGAGAAGGGAAGCGCACTCCCTGGGAAGAAGCCACAGGCAAAGCCAATGAGCTCACGAATGCTTTGTTAAGAGACTTCATGCTGCACAGGGAGACGGCTGGGGGCTTTTGTGGCTGCCTAGGCTGCAGGCCATAAAATGTAAGCTGGGTTGTTCTGTTTTTGAGTAGGATGGAATGATAACCACCTGACCACAGTCCCCTTCTAGAAAGCTACCAGAAACCCCACAGATAGATAAAACCGTGCAGGTGTATTGGCTGGGAGGGGGTATGGAGAGTGGGCGGATGGGGGCAATAGCTTGGAAAAGTCAGACACCTGAGTGAGATCAGATCAGAGGATAAACATTTATGAGACCAAGAGGTAGCGTGAATGGTATCTGGGAGAGAGGAAGCCGTCTGTGTAAGGATACCGCAGCGTGAACAAGCATGGAGTCCTGAAAGAGAAGAATTTTCCAAGGCCTCACTGCGAGACAATACTGGAGCGGGGGAAAGGACAAGTGGCCATGACTCCCACCCACAACCTGTGCTCCTGCCTCCTCCTCATAACAGCAATAAAGCATGAGAGGAGGAACAGAGGAACAACAACAGAAAGACTGAGAGTCAGAGAGAAAAAAGATGGACTACACAAGTGGTAACCGAAGGAAACTAACATGACTATACTACTGCTAGACAAATAGATTTTAAAGCAAAGATTTCTACTAGAGACGAAGAGGGTCACTTAAAAATGATAAGATGGTCAATCTATCTGGAAGGCGTAACACGTAGAAATAAATGTGAACATAATCCAAAAATATATAATAAAAAGATTATATGCCATGACCAAGCAACCAAGTGATATTTAACCCAGAATGCAAGGTCAGTTCAACAAAAATAAAATCGGTGTAACACCACAGCAATAAAAGATAAAAACAACATCGACACCTCCACAGACACAGAAAAAGTAACTGACAAAATCTAATACCACTTCATGATAAAGTCACTCAAAAACTGAAGTAGAAGGAAACTTCCACAACCTGAAAAAGGACAGCCATGAAAACTCTACAGCTAATGTCACACGTAATGTGAAGGACTAAACGCTTTCCCCTAAGGTCTGTTCTTACCACTGCTAACCAGGGAAATTAGGCAAGAAAAGGAATAACAGCACACACACGGAAAGCCAGAAGTAAAACCATCTCTACTGTGGCTGACATGACTTAGAGCTAGAAAAGTCCCAAGGAATCTACTATTAGAACATAAGTGTGAACAGCAAAGCTGTACAATACACAATTAATATACAAAATTAACTGCATTTCTACACTAGCAGTGAACACTACAAAAATTTTAAAAATTCCACATAGCACAGCATCAAAAAGAATACTTAAGAATAAATTTAACAAAAGAAGTACAAGACACCATATAGTGAAAACTGTCCAACATTTTTAGGAAAAAACTGAGGACCCAAATAACTAGGAAAGGAAGACATCCTATCTTCAGTGATCGAGATGCTTACATCGTGAAGATCTCAAAACTGTCCACAATACAGTGGAATATTCAGCTATAAAAAAAGATGTAATCTTGCCATTTGGAACATGGATAGAACTAGAAGGGATCATGCTAAGTGAAATCAGTTCAAAAGAAAAAGGCAAATCCCAAAGACATCACTCCTATGTAGATACACAAAGCCGAGAAACAAAGGTCTTACACAAAGCAAAACTAAGCCAACAAACCAGAATTGGAGCTGAGCTACGGAGGGGAAGGGGGAGCGAGGGAAAGGGGGCTCGGGTGGAGGATCAAGGGGAGGAAGGGCTCTGTGACTGCAACGGAGGATACATGAGTGCTCTGGAGGTGGGTGTGGTGTGGAAACACACATCTGAAGCGTGCGCCTACATTCCTAAATCACATGCATCGTTTTAAACCAATGTTACTGCAATAAAAGCTTTTCTTTAAAAGTATCAAATAACCTTTTAGGAATCAGTTTTTGTTTTGTTTTGTAGAAACCGACAAACTGATCCTTAAAATCCAGATGGAAATACAAGGAACCTATATTTATTAAGGATATTGAATTCATAATTAACCCTCTATAACAGAAAGCACCAGGCCCAGATGGGCGAACCAAATACTGAAGAATTGGTGCTCCCTAATCCATCCTGTGCTCCCTAATCCATGCTGTGAGACCTACATTCTCCTAACACCAAGACAACACAAAGATATTACAAAAAACTACGGAAGAGGAAGAGTCTCTCTCATGAACAGCCCCACAAAAATCCTCAACAAAGTACCAGCAGATCAAATCCAACAATGTATGAAAAGAATCACATACCATGACCAGATATGCAAGGCTGCAATACATTAACTGTATTACACAACACAACATACCCAACAAAAGCTAAATCACATAGATGCAGAAAAAGCATCTGACAAAATCCAACATCCATTCCCGATAAAAATTCTCAGTGAACTAGGAATGGACAGGAACTTTCTCAACATGATGAGGAATATCTACAAAAACCCTACAAATATCACCATTAGGGATAAGAAGCCAGAAGTTTTCCCACAGGTCAGGAACAAGGCCATAGATGTCCCTTCTCACCACTGCTTTCCCACACCATACTGGAAGCCCTCACTAATGCAGTAAAGACCAAAATAAGAAGGCAAAGATGTAGTGATTGAGAAGGAAGAAATAAATCTCTTCCTTCATAAATGCATGATTATCTATGCAGAAAATCCAAATAAAATGACAAAAACTCCTAAGATGCAGTTATAAAAAGGTTTCAGATACAAGGTTAATACAGAAAGCACATTACTTTTCTATATACCAGCAATAAGTAAGTAATATTTAAAATTTAAACCACAATGGCATGTATATCAGCAACTCCCAAAATTAAGTGCTTAAGTATATAACAAAATATATGAGCAAAATATATAACAACTACATGAGCGAAAAGTACAATACTTTGATGAAAGAAATAAAAATACTCTTACATGATCCAGCGACTGTACTCCTTAGTACTTATCCAGGAGTTGAAAACTATGTTCACACAAAAACTTGTCCATAGATGTTTATAGCAGCTTTAGTCAAAATTGTCAAAACCGGTATGTCACCAATATGCCCTAGATATCCTTGAATGGTGGGTGGTAAATGAGCTGGCCCACCCAGACAAGGGAATATTTAATTCAGCACTAAACAGAAATGCATTAGCAACAAAGCCATGAAAAGACATGAAGGAACCTTAAGTGTATACTGTTAAGTAAAAGAGGGCAATTTGGAAAGGCTATGTGTGACATGAGTCCAGTTCTAAATACATGATTCCATTATTAGAAAACAAACTATGGAGACAAGGAAAGTATCCGTGGTTTTCTTTGGCAGATGAACAGGTGCAACACAGGGATTTTAGCAGTGAAACCTCTCTGTATACTATTGTAATGGTAGGTACATGCCTCTGAACATTGGCCAAGCCCAGGGAAAGCACACCTTTGAGAAGAACCCAAAAGTAAACGATGGAATCTGAGTGGTTCTTATACGTCAATGTATGTTCATCAGTAATAATAAGTGTCCGCTCTGTGGGAGATGCTGATATTGAGAGAGGCTATAAGTGTGGGAGGCAATTGTTACATGAGAAATCTCTTACTTTCCTGTCAATTTTGCTGTGAATCTCTAAAAATAAAAACTATCCAAAAAAGCACTAAGTGCCACAACATAGATGAACCTTTAAACAATCATATTAAATTGAAGAAGCAAACACAAAGATCACATACTGTATTTCATTTATATGAGTAGTCCAGAACAGAAAAATCCAAACAGAAAACAGAAGTTATCTAGGGATTGAGGGGAATGGGAGTGGGGTTAATTTTACAGATGTTAAGAATGTTCTGACTTCAATAGTGGTGATGGTTGCATAATTGTGAACACAGCAAAACTACATACACTTTAAAATGGTGAACTTTATACTATGTGAATGACATCTCAACAAAGCTGTTACTGTTTTAAAAAAGAAAAGGAAACTTCAAATCCAACCATATCAACAATTACATTAACTATTAAAAGATAAAGTCTCTGCCGAAAAGACAGTTTCAAAAGGGTTTCAAAGGGATAAAAAAGTAAGTACCCAATTATAAGCTGTCTACAAGACACTCACTTGAAATTAAAGGCAAAAGTGAAATGAGAGTAAATGGACGTGGAAAGTATCAATCAAAATCTTATAAACAGTACACATAAGAAAGCTAGAAAGACTATTAGATTTCAAAACAAAATGCATTATAAGATAGTAATGAACACTTCATAATAAAAGCTTCAGCTCAAGAGGAAAATGTGGCAATCATAAAGTAGATGCCCAATAACAGAACTTCAAATACATGAAGCAAACACTGGCAGAATAAAAGAAAAGAGAGGAAAGCGGGTTCCGCAATCACAGTTGCAGATTTTAACACCCACCTCTCCTAGACTAGACCAAAAGCTGGCAGAGTTTACACCATCAGACCTTAACACTTCCTACCACACTGGCTTGACTTACAGAACTAAGTGATTTAGTTCCTTCCTGGTAGTGCAGGGGTTAAGTCGCAGCACAGTGAAGCTAACCTCAGTCACTACAGCAGGAATTTGATCCCTGGCCAGAGAGCTACCCACAGGGGAAGCAGACCTCTCCGGTCTCTCCCTGTACCTATGTTCATCTGCCTGTTCTCTTTCCCACTCTGAATCTGGTGAATTCTCTCACTCCTCAGTCCAGACACCTCTGGCCTGTAGCCCTGACACCTCTGGCCTGTACCCTAGTTCTTGTTCTTGTAAGCATAAACAAACAAATCTTTAAAAAAAAAAAAAGAACTTGCTGATTTAGAGAACATGGCACCTAACAATATCAGAATGCATTTTTTTTTACGTGTTTAGAGAATGTTTAAAAACTAAAAAAAAATAAAAATAAAAAGTTTAAAAAGATTACAATTATGCAGGGTATGTCCTCTGGCCAAAATGGAGTGAACGTGCAAATCAGTGAGAGTAACCAGGCCACCCCCACCAATATCTGGACAACAAATAACTCTCGGAAGAATCACTGGATCAAAGAATCACAATAAAACTTAAAAATTTTTTTTAAAGATTTATTTATTTGTGCATACAGAACTGGGGTACAGGCCAGAGGCTCAGGGGCGGCGAGAGGCTTCACCAGAGACAGAGTGGGGAGCAAAACAGGCAGATCCACGAAGTACACTGCTGAGGGGAGCAGCGGGCGGGTCAGGAGAGGTCTGTGGCACCATGTGGTCACCTCTGGGGCAGGCGGGGATCGAACTCATGCGGAAGTGGCTTTAGCTTCTTAGTGCTGCGCTTTAATCCGCTGCGCTACCAGGGAGGGTCCTCAGTTAAAAATATTTTAAGTTTTAGGGCCCTCCCTGGTGGCGCAGCGGGTTAAAGCGCAGCACTGAGAAGCTAAAGCCACTTCCGCATGAGTTCGATCCCTGCCCTGGCAAGCGACCACATGACCAGCAGACCTCTCCTGACCGGCCCGCTGCTCCCCTCAGCAGTGTACTTCGTCGACCTGCCTGTTCTGCTCCCCACTCTGTCTCTGGTGAACCCTCTCATCAACCCCGCATCTCTGACCTGTACCCCAGTTCTATATGCATAAATAACTGACCTGTACCCCAGTTCTGTGTGCATAAATAAGTCTTTAAAAAATTTTTTTCGTTGAGTGATAATGAAAATAAGACAACATATAAAATAGGTGATGCAACTAAAGCCATGTTTACAGAGGCGTAAGCTTTAAAAGCCTCTGGAAGAAAAGAAGGTCCCAAATTAAGGACCTAAACTTGTACCTTAATAGGAACTGGTTGCAAATTATACCCAGAGCTGTTGAAGGAAGGAGGTTAACAAAGGGCAGAAATCAATGAAGTGCTAACCTCTAGACAGGCTGATCAAGAAATGGAGAGAAAGGGAACAAATTATCTGTCCTGGCAGTGAAAAAGGAAACACTCCTACGCCTTCAGACGCCGAAGTATGACAAGAGAAGAAGCTGGACCCTGCTGACACATTCCGTAGCATGATGGATGAAATGGATGCTCGTAGCTAGGGGCAAAAGGCTCAAGGCCCTAGGACGCTACTTCCCTGAGGGCCGGGGGCAGGATGATGCTAAGGGCAAGTCGGGCAGGTGGAACCGAGGGTCAGGGACAGAGGCCTGGTCAAATCTGAGCTTGGAGAGAAAGCCCTCCAGCTGCATCTGGGCACTGAGAGCAGGCGAGGCTGGGGCCGAGCCTCAGAAGCTGGGGCTGCTTGGAACAGCGGTAGGATGGGGGTGAGCGGGAGGGAGGCCGCGGAGGGAGGGGCAGGCAGGGCCTGGCTGACCACAGGTGGAGCCCCAGGTCAGCACCAGCGTCCTGGAGCCTGTGGAGCCGAGCCAGGAGCAGCCGGGAGCCTGGGGGGAAGACAGTACCACGCTCATTTCCCCGCCGGGGGGCCCTCTGCGGGCAGGAGGCGCAGGAAAGGACACTGGGTTCAGTACGGAAACCAAGCAGCCAGGCACAGGTCCCTGCGGAGCCCAGGCGAGCTCAGACCAGCACGCGCCCAGAACCGAGCCCAGGTGCAGATGGGCTGGGCCCTGCTGCAAGGGGAGGCTCAGAGGCCCGAGGGAAGGAGGGAGAAAGTGTGGCCAGCACAAGGCCAAGCACCCTCCTCTGGGGCCCAGTCCCAGGCCGAATCTGCCCCACCTGGACCCCAAACTCACTGAAGAAAGCCCCATTACTGGCCCAACTATGAAAAGCTGCCCCTTCCTTCAACCCGGGTCACCTGCTCCATCAGCCACACCTCTGCATCCTCTCTGCAGGCTTCGCTGGCTCGCTTCTCTCATAGCTAAGCCTGGGTGTTGGCAGACCCCCTAGAGACTGTGTCAGGGGCTTCCACTGGGCACCCACAGACCCCCCAATATGCAGGTCTGAAGCCTCTCTGCTTCCCAGAACAGCCAGGCAGGGTCACCGGGAGAGGTGGGTCAGGCCACATCAAGGCCACTCTGCATAGCTTGGGAGACGCCTCAGACAGCAATCGGGGCCCACATCGCCAGCACCCCTCTCCTCAGAACAGGGCTGGCCACAAGCAGCCCCCACTCTGCTCCAGCTGACCCAGCCTCAGCTCCTCCCTGCAGGGCAAGACAGAGACAGCCACCCCAAGCTGCCCACCCGCTGGCACTCACCCATCAGGCTCTGTCGCTCCTCCTTCTTCCTGGCCTTCTGCTTGGCCTCCAGCTGCACCACTGACAGGGACGGCCCCACTGTGGGGCTGGGGAGGGCACTGGCTGCAAAGCGGGCCAGCAGGCCCAGCCCGCTCTCCTCCAGGCCTGGCGACAGGGCCCGCTCTCGGGCCCCCAGCCTATAGCCGCCACCAGCCTCGTCCTCGTCCTCCTCAAGCTCATCCTCCTCGTCCTCCTCGGAGCTCTCATCTGGCGTGCAGAAAACAGGAGGCAAGTCAGAGTCTTGGTCTGGGCGTGGGCCGCCCCCAGTCCCCAGCTTGGACGGGCTGCGTGGCCACAGCTCCAGTTAACTCCTCACCAGCCGGGGGTGGATCCAGACCAGCCCACTAGACCCACCCATGGCCCAGCGTCCCCATCAAACCGAGCCCAAGTAGTGGGCATCCTGGATGGCCCAGAGGTGGGCAGCGGGGATCAGAGTGAGTTTCTCTCAGGGGGACACTGACATGCACCTGTGTTGTGGGGACAGACACACAGACAAGGCCTGGAGACGGCTCTCTCCATGGTCTCACGCACACACACGCCCCGACGTACAACATGAAGGCTGAGGAAGGAGGCAGGAGAGGAGAGGTGAGGAAAGGGAGAGAAAGGGGGTCCTGGGGTCTCAGTATGGGGCTCCAGGCACAGGCCCCTGGGGGCAGCTTTGTCAGCTGGAGGCTGAGGGCCGGTGGCAGGACAAAGTGGAGTTTGGTTTCTCCCTGGGGTGGGAAGATGCCTGTGTTGAAGCCTGAAGCAGGCTCTGAGGTCTAAAGTTAACTCCCAGCCGGTTAACTCCTCATGTGAGAAGCCTGCAGCAAGCCTCTGAGTCTACTTCTCATCTTCAGCTCAGGGCGACCTTCCCAGCTCACCCAGCCAGCTAACGGGAAGATGCAAGCAGGATCACACCTACGCAGGAAGGCGTGCTTTGCAGGCAAAGGGGATCAACCAGAAACAGTCTTCCTATCCTACAAATACAAACACAGTCCCGCTGCCGGAGAGTCATGCGTTGGCTACCCCGTGGGAAGCTGGCAAGAGCCGGCAGGCCGGTCAGCCCACTCTGCACCAGCAAGACGCTGGCCAGGCAGGTTGAGGGCCCAGGCAGCCGAGCAGGACTCCAGCTCTGGACTGGCTGGATGTGCTGTCCCAGTCTAATGAAAAGAGAAGCCTAAAGAACCCCTAGCCTGTCGCTCTGGTCGAGATGTAGCTCTCCGCAGTACCTGGCCCTGTAAGCCTGGGGGCTGCAGTCCTGAGCTCAGTTTAGGCCGCTGGGACAAGGAGGGAGTGGGAGTGGGTGGGAGCAAGCAGCAAGCCTGTGGGGAGCAACACCCCCTGCACGTGAACCGAGGCCTCCGTCGCAAAGAGACCTCCTCTCAGTACAAGCTTGCTTCTGACCTTCCCGGGACACATCCGGCCAACCCCAGTGGGCAGGCGGGCAGAGAAGTGTGCAGCAGCAAACTCGGCCCGTGCAGTGCCGTGGCCAAGGAGCAGCCAGGGACACTGGCTGGGGGGCAGGGAGGACAGCCCGAAGGCCTGAGTGCTGGGACAGTGAGGGAGCCACGGGCAGGATGAAGCAAGGCTGAGGCCAGAGGAGGGAAATGAGGTGAGCCATCTTCTCCCTGCTCCTTCTGGGAGCAGGCGCAGCCTTGGGGGCCCAGAGGGGGTGAATGGGGGCCAACTCCACTTTCTCCTGCCAATGCCCCAAGTCACCTGCTTGCTTGAGGGCAGCTAGTCCAAAAAAAGGGGACCCCAGGGTGCCAGTGGGGTCAGAGGGTCTTTGCCTACCCACTTATCAGAGGGGGCCGAGTTCTGCTGAGTTACCCCTTAGTGAGAGAGGCAGCCATGAGCTTAAGAAGCCCCTCAGGGAGTCGAGAGAGGAAGGAGGCAGAGAGAGGAGGCTTGTTAGAAGGAGCGAGTCCGCTCCGAGCGACGGATGAGGCGGATGCAGAGGCGGGGCAGGCAGGCAGCAGGCAGGCAGTGCACACTTGCGATCATTCACATTGCGGACGTCACATGGTTCTGTCTCCGCCCCAGCGGGCCACAGCGGCAAAGCAGGCTAAGTGTAGGCAGACTTTTGACAGCACCTGGGTCCCCCACATCAGGCCTCCCTGGGGTTGGCCAATTTGAGCAGGGTGGTGAGCAGGGGACGGGCTGGCTGGGGTGGGGACGTGGGCTTGGATGTGTGGCCAGCTCTCCCTCTGAGAGACAGCCTTCCTGGGCTGCTCAGGTGTGGAGACCCCAGAACTCCAGTCTCTCCCGTCCGGGAGCATTCTCCACTGGCAGAGGCTAGCAGGGGAGGGCTGACTCTGGGTTTCTGGAGGCCTGGAGGGTTTCAGAGCCCAGAAAGCCAGCAGCAGCCCCATCCCAGCACCCTGGGACAGAAGAGTGTTTGGAAGGCAAAAGCCAATCTTGGTCCCCAGGACCCTCCCCATCTCCCACCCTGATCTGACCAGCCAACCCTGCCGCCTCCATGGCCATACGCCCAGGCTGGGATCTGCAGGGCGGGCGGGGCAGGGCACAGGGCGGGTCTCGGAACCAAGAATGTCTTTCTGGAGTTGTCTACACCTGAGGCCACAGAGCTTGCCAAGGGCGGGGGAAGAAAAGTGCCAACAAAGAAACCCAAGGAAATGGAGGAAAACGTTTTTATTTAAAAAAGACTCTTGGCTCAGTGTGTGGGGTTGGCTGTTGTACCTCAGTTTGGTCTTCCAAAACCCAATCGGTAAATGCCAAAGCGATTGCTGCTGCCATAGCCGATGGGGGCAAACCCCGAGGAGGGAGGTGCAGAGAGACAGAGAGAAAAGGTTTGCCTACCTACGGAGCAACGAGCCAGGCCCGACCCAAGCTCAGTGACCCGCTGCGCCGTCTGCCCTACTCCCAGCCTTCGCTTTGCGTCCAGAGTGCAGCGTGAGAGCAAATGCAAGAGACCAAAACAGACATTCAAAGCATCATGGGTAGGGGTCAAGGGTGAAGGTATGGTCAAGCTGCTGGGAGGAGAAAGCAGACATACCAGAAGCCAAGCCAATTAGGTGTTTAGTATCAGATGTCAGTAAGGCCCTATTACCCAAATATCCCTTTTGAGACCTGACCAATGACCTGTGTGCAGTGGGGCCCCCACCCTTCACCCCTCCAATCCCACTATCTGGGCTCTGAACCCTGCTGCAGCCAGCCCTGGTCTGAAGACCCCTGGCCCCTTGCTAAAGAGACCTGGGCATTGTGTTGGGGTGGGACGACTCAAAACCTTGGTGGCTGAAACCCTGGCTTTAAGGAAAGAAGGGAAAGGGTGTGTGTGGGAGGCGGCACAGGGGTCCAGGCGGGGGGTGGGGGAGGCGATGGTGAACCAGTAAGACCTCCGGGGAGGTCTGAGCTGGGGGAGGGGTCACACACAGGCCAACTGGCACATCTGCGGCCTGCTTGAGACCCAGAGCACATGTGCTCAGGTGTGGCAGCAGCCCAGGAGACGGCCACCCAGGGGCACCTGGCTCCCTGCTGCACCATCTCCTGGGGACCTAAAAGGAAACTGGATCAAGCCAGATGGCAAGGCAGAGACAGAAGGCAGTCCAGGCCTGGCACACTGGCACTGAGGGCAGCGTTCTGACCCTGCCTCCGGGCCTTGCTCAGGGGCCATTGGGGTCGAGGCTCTGACACCGTGCTCTGCTACCCAGGCTCTGGGATCTAAGGAAGTCCCCCCGAATCAAACCCTAAACCAGGGCAAGGAGACATTTAAGGACCCACTGGCTACCTCCCTGGGACGTCGCTGACTCCCAGAAGTTCTGCCATTAGAGGTATCTGAGCCAGGTTATTCCAGGAAACTCTGGACGCATCCCCTTTTCCTAAGGGAGGTGAGTGAGGCCCTGGACTTAGCTGAACGCAAAGCAGCCTGTGACCCTCTGGGCGGCGATAAAGCCGAGTGCTCGGGCTCATGCCCGCTGGGGGACAGCCAATGCTCTGGACCCTGTTCTGTCTACATGCCCTTGGGACAGTAATGTGTGTCGGAAAACAAGTGTCTGCAAATCTTTTAAACGCCATTGCTTAAAAACAGAGCTTTAAGAAAATAAAAGACAAACAAGCAGCTTCAAAAAAAAGGATGATGCTGGAGGTGAAAGCAGTTGACTTTAAACCTGAAAAATGAAACGCATGCCAATAGCTACCAGGGATATTTGAATAATAGAGAAAAGCGGCAGACTGCATCATTCCATCTCTGCCCCTTCCGAGGTGGGAAAGGGGAAAGGGGAGAGAAGGAACAAAATGAAGGGAGCGGGAACCTGACCGCTGGTAAGGACACAGCAAGAGAGACGAGGCACACGGGTTTAGTTAAAAATGAACTCGATATGTTTAATAAAGCTTGGTATTACCAAAATCGCAGTACAAACATCAAGTCACACGCCCACACGACAGAATTCCGGTTACAAGACGCCCCTCGGGAGGCCTCGAGCGGGCCTGCCGAGGGAGAACCAGCCCAGGCCTGTGGTCTAGGGGCAGAGGGGCGAGGAATGGGGTGGGCGCAGGGGGGAGAGTGGAGAAAGGTGGAAACTACAAACAGTCCGTATAAAAAAGCTCAAAAAGAGCTAGCCGATGATATCATCACAACGATACAGGTACAAATAAAAACAAACAAAAAGACTTAGGCTGATAAAGCAGGCTACGCTGCCAAGAACCAAGATGGCTGCCTCCGCGGCCATCCTCTCCAGCGCTCGCGCTCTCGCTCTCTCGCGCTCACTCACTCTCTCGCTGTCTATAAAACACGGAAGGTATTTTGTGTTTGGAGCTAGTAACCTTGGTCAAACGAGTCCTCCGAAGAATCACTGAAGGAGGAACGGGCCTCGACCTCTGGGAGCAGCAAACAGAACGGCTGCTTCCTGCTGGCAGCCGGCTTAGGTTTCAGAGTCCGGGCAGCCGCCAGGCCCCTCTTGGTCAGCTTGGAGCCTCCAGCTGGCTTGCTGTTCTTTGCCACCATGCCACACAGGAGGGAGGACGTCAGTTTGGAGCTGGAGGGGCCTTGGGCAGACCACTCGTCCTTCAGGAATTCTTCATCTTCCTCTGAGTCCGTATCTGCAGTCAAAGTAGTTTTTAATAAAGATAAGTCACAGAGCTGGGGCAGGAAGGGACTGGTGTCTTTCACTATTCCTAGTGGTTCTAAGAACAACCTGCTCAATGCCAGGACAGAAAACGCAGTTCCGGTGCCTATAGGCCGCGACCCAGCTCATCACGTCACCTAGGTCACATGCCCAAGCCACAGGCATCACCCAACTCACCTTCTGCAGGCTCAGGCCCACGGCCTTTCCAGCTATCTGCTACGGAATACCTCAACCAACAACCTCTCCAGGCCGGGGGAGGTGGCAGTCCCGGAAGGCTATCCCCTGGTCATCACATTAGCGCTGGTCCTACCTCCCACCAGACTTCATTCAAGTCTAGGGGTTCCATTTGGGAAGGGGTTCCACGAGGGGAAACTCTTCCCCCCAAATGCCAGCTTCTAGTGGCTTGCTGGGCTGGCGTGGGCCACCTCATGAATGCAATCACCCACACCCCGGCCCACATCCCCATCAGCACCAAGGGGGATGGAAATAGGTGTGGTGAGGACACTGCCTCCAAGGAAACCCACAGCTGTCGGGTTTTCTTGAGTCTCCGGCCTCACTGCTCAGGGAAGCCACCCCGTTCTGAGGAGGCTTAAGTGAGCACAGCTCTGACCCCTTTCAACCCTTCTCTGAACAGACTCCCACCATTGGACCCATTTTACACAGGGAGTGAATGGGATTTCACTGGAAGAACAGACCCCACAGCCAAAGACTAATCCCTTCACCTGGAAAATGCATTTGGGACATGAAGAACATTAACAAGCAGCTGCACCACTTCCCAGAGGAACTACATGTGAGCACGTGTGTGGGGACTGGGGTGTCATCTGGCCACTACCTCCAGTATCTCTGCTGTCCACTCTAGCCAAGAGCCCAACTGCAGGATGGCCTGGCTGCACTGAGTAGGTCAAGGACACCCCAGGCTCCAGCCTATGGCCTAGTCACTGCCCGCCCTCTCCTGACTCCATCCTATCCCTCCCCAGGCCACACCCCAGGCTGGGGATGCCTGTGCTGATGATGAGCCACCCAAGCCCTACAGCCTAGAGGAAAGTCAGAGGACACGTGGCTCTTCCGTCCCTGCCAGCACATCCTCTCTAACCCCCTGGCCTCTCCATGACCACGCGCTCTTAATTACCTACAACTGCAGACAGGCTCCTAAAGGAAGGAAAATCAGCACATATCACAGCCATCACTTAGCTGGGGTCAGGCCCTCTGACTTGATTGTTGCAACATTAACCCATTTCTTTCCCCTGCATAGTTTTACACAAGGCACGCGAGCTAGACTGGAACCGGAACAGTCCCTTGCGTATGTCTGTTAAGTCGACTCACCAGCACAGAGACCCCACAAAGACCTGAGGGGCCGTGCTACTCTCTGGCCTCTAGCTCACCCCACCCACCACCACCTGTAAATGGGGGATACGTGCAACAGCCAGGTCATATCCATGGGCCACTCTGCCTTGAAAGACCAAAGGAGTAGCAATCCTCCTCAGCCGCTCTTCATTATTCCAAATCAAGCACAGATGCAAAGTGCAGAGGAAAGCTTCAACTCTCTGAAATGCGCCCTCTACTAGTGCCAGAGTGACCAAGAACCTGGGCAGTGCCATTAGATCACAGCCATCCACACGGAGGGCCACAAAGCTCCAAGTATCCTGCTGTCCTGAGCAGGTAAGGCACGAAGGAGCTGCTCGCCTCAAGTCCATCTGAGCATCAGCCCCAGAAACCCACTAGTCCAGGGCAACCGAAACACGTTTAAAAAATAGTAACAGTGTAATTTCATGCCAGGTGCCAGATCCAAGCTCTTTACCCTCATGAGCTTGAGCTCACTAGAGCCCACAGGCAGGGGTAACAGGGAAACCGCAAATCCGGAAACACTTATTTTCCTCCCTTCAGAATACACGCGATCACACACTACATGTCCATTCTCCTCACACGACGCTCAAACTCCCCCAGCGGACACGACGGAGCCTATCAAAGGGCGAGGTCACACAGAACCAGGCAGTCACCAATGAGAAAGCCGCCCACTGGCCGGGGCCGGGCACTAGGGCACCGACCCAGCCGACAGGTGCCAGGCGCCTTGCAAGAAGCCCCTCCCGGCCTGCGGGCACGGTGGCCGGTGGCCGCGCACCTAGCAGCCGCCCTGGGCGTCAGGTAGAGACCTACTGAGTTACCTCCCAGCCAGCGGCTGGCACAGCGCCGGGGCGCTGCGGGGGGGCCCGAGGCTGCCCGCCTCAGGAACCTCAGCCCTGAGCCCAGGGGCAGCTCCAAGGGGCGGCCCAATGGGTGAACCAAACCCCAGTCCTCGGTCCATGGGTTGGCACACTTCTGGGGCGCAGGCGCGGCACAGCAACAGGCAGGTTTGGGCGGCCGAGGCTGTCAGCTCCCTGGCTCCCCGGCTCAACGCCTGGGCCTCAGGCAGCCTGGGGCTCGCTCTGTCTTCGGGACCAAACCCGGGCACCACGTGGAGGGGCGTCCCGAAGAGCGAGGTTAACACCCGACAGCCCGCGCAGCGCCGCGCAGCCGCCCCGCCACACACGTGCGCGCACGGTTTACGATGGCTCAGCCGGAGGACGGAAGCCGCCTGAGGGCCAGGCAGCCCGGCCATCTCCGAGGCGCTCAGTCGCGCTGGCGGCCGCGGCCTCAGCGGCCCCAGGCCTCCCTCCGCCACACGCCCGCCCAGCAAACCAGCGGGCGACGGGCCCAGGAGGCCGACAACCTCTCCAAATGCCCGCCACTGCGGCGGCCACCAATCACAGGCGCCGCTGCAGCTCAACGCCCGCCCACCTCACGCACTTCCGCTCCAGACCGCCCAACTTCCGGCGGGAGTTCAAGCAGACACGAGAGGCCTTCGAGCGTCCGGGACACGAGGCAGCGGCGGTGGGGGAGAGGGGAGAGGCTACCGGCGGCGGCTCAGCGTCCGCTACTTACTGTAGGAGTAGCTGCTCACTTCCGAGGCGAACGGGGAGTGGGCCGGCTTGGGCTGGCCTCTGGCCTTGAAGCCCACCTCCATCTTCCTGACCTTGGCGGCCCTTTTGTGTTTACCTTCTCTGGAGGCTTTCAGAGACAAGCTGAGGCCTTTGGCCAGCGCCTTCCTGTCCTTGCCCAGCAGGCTGTCGTAGGGCGTCAAGTACCTGCCGCAGCCCCCGCTGGCTTTTGATTTCCCCACAGAAGTGTCCGAGAATTTGAAAGGTGACTTCAGCTTGTCCTGCTTTGTGAGGGAGAGGGCCTTGTCCAGCTTGCTTGCCAACTGCTCCTGGTCACTGGCCATCTTTTTCTTCTTAATCTTGAGCTGGAGAGAGCATGGGGAAGTGACAGTTAAGACATCTGGCAAAAGGGACAAGCCGGGACTCCAGTCCTCCTGCGGCGGGGGCACCTGGCTGCTGCTCAGCCCCCCAGCCTCTGTTCTTCTACTGTGAAATGGGGATAATTAGCGCGTGAATGTCACCCCGTTTTTCTGGCCATCCACTGAGAGGAGGCACATGAAGCCCTTACTAAATAGCTGCTGCTACGGTTACACTTCGCAGTAGCGATGGGCTTTCCACTCTGGCTCTCCCAGGCGCTCTTGGTGCCTCCAGGGAAGAGCTGTGAGTGAGTAGTGCTGCCGGCAAACACAAGTCCCCTGGGCGAAGGGGGCAGGAGGGACACCAACATGACAAACCCAGATGGCAACTACCAAGGCTGATCTCAACTACCGAAAGCAGCTGAAGACGGCCCTTCAGGCTCGCCAGCTTAACCTGGCCAAAGCTACCAAGAAAAAAGCCTCACGTTACGCTGAATGCCCGGAGCACAAAGATTAGAGATGTCACAGATTAAACTCCTGCCTGTACAGCTGTCATCACTTGTCATCTGTTGAAGGGAAATGTGCGTCTTCAAAGCTATTGCTGCTTCATTTGAACATTTTATCCCTGTTTTCTCTAATCAGGTAACATACAGAGAAAGAGTTGGAATGGACTGATTTAAACAAGAGGAGCCTTCATAGTTTGAGAGTATGAAGGATCCTGATCTGCAAACTGGCTCTTCCCTGCTTCCTGAGTGGGAACTTCCCTCCGATGGCAAGCAACCAAAGCAGCCCCACTGCACAGGACTTTATAGGAGGGGAGACGAATACGTTAGTATTTAGCGATAAGGGTTTAAGTGGATGATTTCAATGCTCTACAGAAATAAGAAAAATCAAGGAGTTGGCTGTACCCCTTTACCCCTAGAGAGTTCACAGAGGAAATTACAATGACATTAAGCCTTGTTTCTTAGAACTACAGAATGGTGGAGCTGCTCATTAAATAATTATACTGTTAAACAACAGTAATTGCATTATTTGGTTAAGAACTTGCAGTGTGTCTGACTGGCTTCAGCAGAGGGTCACGAAACTCACACAGGGGATGTAAACTTTCAGTCTCAGTTCAGCCTGCAGCTGTGCTACTTGGATTAAGTTCCTGACCCGGGGGGTCTAATTTCCCCTCTGCATAACTGGAGAAGAGCCACTCTGGCATTGAGCAGTCATTTCTATGGTTCCTGTGTAGCAGTAGGGTCCCCACAAAGGGCATGTGAACTCTGACATGCCCCCAAACCCTGCACCCCGAGATGCAGCACACCTGGGGTACTGACCTGGCTCATGAAGTCCGCGGATGTCTCGTGCTCCTCCCAGGGCTGGTTCCTCCCTCTAGCTTTGCCAGTTCCAGCGAGGGCGTCATGCTCCTCCTCAGACCCCTTGTGTCTCTTCCTCATCCCTCCTCCCAGCTCGTAGTCATCCGACGTCAGCAGGGGCTTGCTGCTCAGCCTGAAACCCAGATGCACCACAGGTGAGCACCCTAGTCGAGTAACCCCCAAGGGCTGGGGGTCCACCCTCATGGCCCTAGAAGTCTGGGCGCTGGATGCTGAAGCACAGTGATGTGATGTCAGTGACGAGCCTGGGGCCACAGATCCTGTGAGACCTCGTGTTGGAATTCTGGGATATTTATAATTGAAGCAAAATGAGAGTTTAATGTAAAAAGACAAATTCCAAGTCAGTCTTCTCTGCTGGCCTCTTGCTCTCTTGTGCTCCTTCACACATACACTCACACACGCCAACTCTGCATGGTCACACCGCTGTACCAAAGCATGCCAAGAACAAGGATAACAAATGCCAAGGACACCCACCAGGACTGCAGGGGTGACTCTGATCCAGAGCTTATGTGCAGGAGTCACTGGCTGGTCTCCTGTGCTCTCTGGAGTACAGGCAGGCAGTGGTCCCAGTTCAAAAGCTTCGCCTGCCTGCTTTAAACTAAACCCTCATTAAGTAGTAACAAAAGCAGCTAATTTTCATTTTCTGCTTACTACACACAGTGATATATGTACTCGGTTTGGTTTTGACTTTTTTTTTTTGGTAGATGAGGAAACAGGCTCAAGAAAGCTAACACCTGGTACAAGATCACAGTGTGCTGAACTGAGACCGGATGCAAGAAGTACGACCACCACCAGGGCGCACTCCTGAGCGAGGACCTTCATGCTGGTGGCCTCAGACTCTGCTCTCTTCCCCTGGAGGTGCTTCCCAGCCCTCCAGTGCCTGCTAGCAGGGTAGTTTGTTCTCTCTCCCTCCTCTCCTCAGTCAGTAACATCCAAGGAAGTTTGTAAAAGCAAGACGTGGGGACCTGCGAGACGTCTTCCCCTGAGGTCTATGGCTGACCCACCGCCTGTCCTGGCATTCACCTGCCCCGCCGCGCCAAGCTGAGGATACTCCAGCCCCTTCTGACAGACCTCATGCAGCTGGTACCCTCCCTGACACCCAGGGAAAGCCACAGCACCTCTCCTCTCCACTCCCAGCCAGGAGGCAAAGCTCATTCCAGCCAGCATTCCAGCAAACTCCCAGAGGTGTCAACACGTGATGCCTGCTGCCCCCAGGAGCTGTCTCAAAGCACTTGAAGTTGGTGGCTCCAGTGACCAGGCTCAGGCACCATGGCCCACAGGTCAGTCCAGGAGACGGGAATGACACTGTCCAGCACAGAAGCAGCAGCAAGGTCAGAGCCCACCCCAGAGGGGCTGGCAGCTAGCGGGCCACTCCACAGGGAAGAGCACGTGGAGAGGAGCAGGAGTTAGTCCCTAGCTGGGGAAGGCGGGCATGGCAGGAGGGTGGTGACGGCATGGCACCTCTGACTGGGGTGTGCTGGCTCTGCCGCTCGCCTCGCTCACCCTCCTCGCCCAGCCGCTGCACTAGACCCGAGAGCTGCCGAGCCAGGCAGGTCAGAGCCCGAGGGACTCGAGTCCCCAGCACCCAGTCACGGGCGCCACCTGGGCCCGTGCTCCTCCCTCCAAGCTCTGTGTCAGTTCCCGACCCACCGAGGGGCCAGCCTTACTTTCCGCTACTGTTGCGGCTCTTCCCTCTCTTGCGGGGGGGCGACAGGGCGCTCAGGGCGTGGGTCCGTTTCCTCGGCCTGCCAGGGCCTCTGCGTGCCAAGCTTCTATGGGGTTCCTCGCGCCTGTCCCTTAAAAAGAATCACACGCTTGGCTGTGAACCTGGGGGGTGGGGGAGGGCGCAGAGAAAGGACACACGGTGCGCACACGTCACTCGGGTCCACACACACCTACGACGGCCTGCCACAGCCGACCTACGGAGCACCAATGCCTACGAGAGCCCGCGAGGGCACCGCCTGCCGCGACCACGGCGCCCGCCGTCGGCCCCAGGTGCACACTCACTCGGAATCGCGGCGCCTCTGCAGCTTCACCAGCTCCCGCTGCTTCTCCTTGTACTGCCGCTGGACCTCTGCCAGCCTCATCCGGAAGTCCAGCTCCATGGCATCCATGTTCTCCAAGGAGGACTTCATGGCGTACATCTGTGGGGACAGGAGCATGAGGATGCAGCGCCCACTAGCTCCCACCCCGCTGGGCACCGACCCGCCGGTGAGGATGGCGAGGCTTCACAGTGAAGAGCTCGCCCAGCACTTCTGCCACCCACTCTGTCACCCTGGGCAGAGCAAAGACCCGACTTGCAGGGCTGTGTCAAGGCCACCTCGGCACGTGATATTCTCATCTACTGCTGTGGACAGAGACTCAGCTCACACTGCGTGTCCAAGGCACACAGGCAGTGAGGGCACACAGCCCAGGGCACACACTGCCCACTCCTGACACATCATCAACTGGATAAACTGAGGCTCGGGGTGGGGAAACCACTTGCCCAGGACCACCCAGCAAGTTGGTGGCAGAAGCTGGATGCGCGTCGAACCCTTCAAACTCCAAAGCCAGCCATATCCAACTCTGAAGGCGCCTCTGGACAGCAACCGCACTACCACCTCACCCCACAGGCCAGAAGCTGGAAAAATGGGCTCAGAACACCTCACCCGCTCCTCCTTCTTCTGCATCCAACTGTACTTCTTATTGGGGTTCAGCTCCCGTGGAAGCCGCAGGTTCTTGAGCGGGTCCACAAAGGGGCTGTCCAGTACCTCCTTCAGCATGTGGCTGCTGGCCGCCAGCAGGCTCTCCAGCGAGGGCCGCACCACCAGGCCCCGCTCCGCACCTACACACAGGGGGCACGTGAGGCTGTGCTCCTCACACCCCGCCAGCAGCTCAGTGTCTCCCCCAGGCCACATGGCCCCCTAGGTGCTGACCGGGCCACGGCCTCCACGGGGCAGGCAGCAGAGCTGAGGGAGAGCAGCAGGGGAGAGCCTGGTGCTGTTTTCAACAGATCTGGTGGTACACCAAGATGCCTACACCCGTCATCAAAGGAGTCCATGTCTAGGAGTGTGGGTCTTTCTGACTTCTCTGTACTTAAAATTTTCCACAAGGAACAGTCATCAGACGAAAAGCCCAAAATTAGGTTTTATAAACTTTAAAAATAATGTGCACATATAACAGGCAGAGAGCTACAAAGAAAGAAAAAACCTTTCCCTGCCCGACACACAGGTCCCCCTGGATGAGATGATGATGTCCGACAGATGGTTCCAGAAGCATCTATGTGTACTCAAATATCCATAACATACACAGCTATGCCTCTATAAAAATGGTCAACACATCATAGCATATTTTGATTCTTTTCCTATTTAATATCTTTCCACATTAGACTTTACAAAGATCTACATCTATCAGATTATTAGCTTGACCCTCAGTCACCGTTTGTGGAGATCAAAAACACAAGAATATCAGCAACTTTGGAGGGTCAGAGCTAATAACAGCCTAAAATTTTCTTGCATATATGAATTTTACACTTATTATTATCTAAATAACCCCCCTACTAATGGTATTTTTTTTAAGATTTATTTATTTATTCATACTGGGGTACAAGTCAGAGGTACAGGGGCAGTG